TTAAAAATCTTTATTTTACCTAATATAGTTTTAATCATTTGATTATAGAAATCTAAGTTAAAATTGTTTCCATTAGGATTTTGAAGGTATTACTCTACTGTCTGTCATCTTCAAGTGCTATTCTTCATGATTCCAATGCTAATTTATTTTCTTGTCCTTTATATTTGACTTTTCTTTTTCCTGCCTGAAAACTTTGGCAATCTTTCTTTTATCCATGGTATTTTGTGCAGATGTTTTGCCATTCTTTGAGCCATGTGCATGGCAGGCATTTCCCTCTAGGAACTGATTTTCTTACATGATTAGATAATTCCTGTCTCTTTTGATCATTTCATTCTCTCATTGATCATTTGGAACTTCTACTAATTGGGATTCCTGGATTGCTTCTCTAGATTTTTTTTTTTTTGGTTTCCCTTTTATACATTTGAAAAGATATGCAAGTATAAAAATTTTGAAGCACAATATCAAAATGAGCACTTTTGAACATATCACTCAAAATCTAGAATTGCGCTGTCCAATAGAGTAGCCATTAGCTCCATGTGGCGATTTAGTGCCTCAAGCGTGGCTCGCGTGACTGAGGAAGTGAAATTTTAATTCTAACTATTTAAAATTTAAATTTAAAAGAGGGTTCTGCATTGTTATTGAAAACTTCTAAGTATGTTTGGGACAGCTTGGCCTTATGAATTTATTTTTTCAATTGTAAGTTTTATGAAATCCAAGTACAGACTTTAGTATTTCTAATAAAAATTTAGCATACAAACTGAGGGGTGCTGTAAATGTAGAATACAGCACAAAATAAAATACTTCATTAATATGTTTTTGATTGTGTATCGAAATGATAATTTGAACACACTGGGCCACGTAGGAACACACTACTAAAACTTATTTCTTTTTCTTTTAATGAGGACATTTTAAATTATATATGTGGCTGGCATTAAGTTTCTTTTTCTTTTTTTTTTAAGATTTTATTTATTTATTTGACAGAGAGAGACACAGCAAGAGCAGAACACAAGCAGGGGGAGTGGGAGAGGGAGAAGCAGGCTTCCCGCCGAGCAGGGAGCCTGATGCGGGGCTCGATCCCAGGACCCTGAGATCATGACCTGAGCCGAAGGCAGACGCTTAACAACTGAGCCACCCAGGCGCCCTGGCATTAAGTTTCCACTGGACAGGTCTGGGCTGGAATATTACTAAGACATTTGCATCAACTTATGTGCCTCTCTCCTATCCCATCACTGTGACTCCTTTTCAGAGGTAACCACTATGCTAAATTCTGTGTTTATCATTCCTTTACTTACACAAATAATACACTTATGAATAGATCACCAATCAATGTATTATTTTGTCTTGTTTCTGAACTTTATACAAATGGCACCAAACTGTATGCTGGTTTCTGGGCCTTGCTCTTTTCCTTCAACCGGAATTGTCCACCGTCGACCCATGTTACCATGTAGATAACTCAGTCAGGTCATTCATGTTGCTTCTATAAGATAAACTGTTTAAAAATGGCAAAATATGTTCTTCTACTTCCTTTTGGTGAACACTTGGGTTGTTGCTAGGTTTGGCTATCATGAGCAAATACGCTGTGAAAATCCTTGTATGTGGCTGTCAGTGCTGGTGGGGGCGTTTCTCAGAGTGAGTCCCTAGGGATGGGTCTGTAGGGTTGTAGGGCACAGGCCAGCTTTACAGGATAGCATCTATTCACTTTCCAAAGATTACAGCACCACCCGTGAACACTGCAACTCCTGGCCCAAACTGGCGAGGCCCGTTTTTACCTCTCTGTCTAGCAGGAGTCTCACATGGTGTCCCTGTGCAGAGTTCCTTGTCATGGAGACTGGACTCCTTTCTGTGTTTAGTCATCACTGTTTTTCAATTTTCTGTGAAGTATTTCTTTATGCTTTCTGCCTTTTTGGGGGGTTGTCTTTTGCTTATTGATTTAAAGAAATTTTTATATAAGGTCAAACCATATTAAACTGCCTCTATTCAACCTTTAGATACAGCAATTCATATGACTCAACCTCAAATATATATATATATATATATTTTTTTTTTTTTTGAGAGAGTGTAAATGGGGGAGGGAGGGGCAGAGGCAGAGGGAGAGAGAGAATCTTAAGCGGACTCCACACTCAGTGCAGAGCCTGATGCAGGAGTGGATCTCCCAACTCTGAGATCATGACCTGAGCCGAAATCCAGGGTTGGACGCTTAACCAACTGAGCCAGCCAGGAGCCCCCAACCTAAAATATTTTAGCTGACAATTATTTGCCAAGTCTATGTGTTCAAAATATATATTTTCAAGTCATGAGAAAATTGTATTTTCCCTTTTTTATGGTGAATTTGATTAAAGAAATTCATTTTAATCTAGTTGAATTTATCAGAAAAAATTTTTTAAATTAACCTTTTTTGGTGTCTTGAGAAATCCTTTCTTAACCTTAGGGTACAAATATTGTCCGAAATTTACTCATAAAAGGATAAAAGTTTGCCTTTCATAAGTCTTGGTTATTCTTGGCTAAGAATTACACTGCAAAATAAATTTCAGAATCAGTTTGTCATTTTCCACAAAAATGCACTCTTGTGATTTTTACTTAGGTTGCAATGAATCTATTCATCAATTTTGGGAAGAACTGACATCTTTTTTTTTTCCCCATCTTTCTTTTTATTCTCAAGATAGGGTAATACAAAACTCCAAGGGGTATTGGCCTGGGCTGGCCCTCATGTGGGCTCTAGTGCTTTGGAGGAGGCAGAACTGAGTCCCCAGGAATGTGAAAGCATGACATCAAAAGGACAGCAGTAGCTACTGTGCCAAGTTCAACAGCTCAAGTCACACCCAGGGCATAGACACAGCAGGGCTTGGGTTCTAGCTCCGGGTGGGGGAGAGTGGGGGATGATAACTGCTTTGAGATAACTGAGCAAAAGAGCCAGTGCAGAAGGGTCTGGTGGGAGAAATGGGGAGGGTGAAGGATAGGGCTCTTCCTCTCTCTTCTACTACTGAAGGGCAGAGGCACGTGACCCCAGCAAGGGGCCGAAGTCTGTAGTAGCTACTTGGAGCCCATCACGGAGAAGCCAGACCACTCCAGGGCTGGTTAGCTGGCTTTGGCAGGTGGTGGAATACTGGTCATAAGAACAGAGACAAACCGTTCCAATTTTTGTGCTGCTTGTCTCCCGGCTCTAGTACCTCCTCATGACTGACCTTCTCCTTGGCTTCATAACCCAAGACGACTTTGTTAGTGATGAGGGAGAAGCCAAAGACTCGAAGTCCACAGTGCCTTGCCGCTGTAACTCCTGGTACTGTGTTCATATGCCGACAGCATCCGCCCCCGGCTCCTGCAGCAGCCGACACTCGGCCAGTCTCAAAGGACGGGCCTGCCAGCGTCACACAGGTGCCGTCCTTCCGCTCTCTCTGCTCCCCCATCTGCGTCCAGGCCCCGTCAGCCTTCTGCTCCATATCCCGGTCATAGGCATCGGACGCGGCAGGGAAACCAAGTCCAGCCTTTCGTCATTGGGCCCTGTGAGAGGGTTCACACCACGGAAGCCAGGTAAGTTGATGTGATCACGGACCAGCATGGTATCTCCGACCTCAAACTCAGGGTTGAGTCCTCCAGCGGCACTGGTGACCACTAGGGCATCCGCGCCCGTAAGGAAGAACGCCCTCACTGGGGATGTCACCCTCTAGATCGAGTGGCCTGCATACATGTGGAACCGGCATCATCACACAGGCCCTGCCGTTCAGGAACCCAGGCACCAGTCGACCAGCATGACCAGGCGCTGCGCGTCGGGGAAAGTTTGGAATCTCGCTGTAGTCAAAGCTCTGGGTGTCACTTATCGGCCAGATTTCCTAACCCAGAGCCACAGATGACTGCACTTGAGGTCGGTGCTTGGTGCGGCGCAGAAGCCGTTCGCTCGTGTTCCGCACAGTTCCTCGCGGCTGGCTTCTCTCCCAGCCCGGAGTCCCCAGCCGATGGCAGCCGAACACGCAAGCCAGCCCCCCTCTGCATGGGGACACGGCCCGATTCAAGAACCGACATCTTTGTAACACTGAGCGTTCCAGCGCATGAACGAGTACAGCCTTGACCAAGAACGGTCACGTCGGTCTTGAAGAAAAAGAAACAGGACTTAACTCCACCAGGTGAAAAGGTATTTTAACGCTATGGTAATTAACCGGTTTGGCACTGGTGTAAGCAAAGACAGTAGACCAATGGAACACAAGGAAGCGCCGCGTCTTCTAGACACCACCCTCCCCGCGACAGTCTTCCTAGAGCTCCGCTGTGATCCAGACACCTGGTCTAAAGGCTGCCAACGGGCTCTCAGTCCTGCAGTAAGAAACCCCAGAGGGCTAGCTTGACCTCCAGGAATCTTCGGACGTTTCCTGAACATTTTAAAAAGTAAACTGCGAGAAAGCACTAAAGAAATTTTAGGTATTTTGCCCTGTGGAAAAAGAAGTGCTTGATTTGTCTTGAAAACTGTGGAAGACTATCTTGTGGGCAGGGGCTGAAACCTGCTCTGTAATCACAGGGAACCCAGCTGCACCCGTGTGTAGAAGCTACAGAAACACACCTCTGTTCACCGATGGTTCAAAATCTTCAACCTGTATCTTGTTCCACTTTTTAAAACTCAGTGATGTGGGCATTCTCTACTTCCGTTGTGAAGGTAAAGTGAAAACAATCTCATTGTATTGATGTTCAGAGTGACTTTTTTCTGATTTTGCATTAAGGTAATTAGGTTAAAAAAGTGTGTTACCTGGTGAGTTTCTAAGTAAACTGTAACTAAATCAGTAACTCCAGTTTTGGTAACTCTTCAGAATTAGTTACAGAAACCTTAGGGTTTTAAGTACTAATATGTTTTATTATTCAACTATGCATCTCATCTTTGAACCCCTTCTACAGTATTCCTGCCAAATTTACTACCTTAGGGCAGAGTTTATTCCAGTTTAGGACCCCTTTTAAAAGTACAGACTTTCCCCACAGGTAAAATATCTGAACTTTCTTCAGTGTTTCCCCCGCAAAGCTCATTTTATTATTTATTTAATTTTTATTTAAATTCCAGTTAGTTAACACTCAGTGAACTCTTAGTTTTGGGAGAATTCAGTGATCCATCACTTAGATACAACACCAGTGCTCATCACAACAGGTGCCCTCCTTAATGCCCATCCCTTACCCCCTCCCTCCATCAACCCTCAGTCTGTTCTCTATCGCACAACACTCATTTTAGATGTTCAGGAAACATCCGAAAATTCCTGGAGGTCAAGCTAGTCCTCTGGGGTTTCTCACTGCAGGACTGAGAGTCCGTTGGCAGCCTTTAGACCAGGTGTCTGGATCACAGCGGAGTTCTAGGAAGACAGTAGTCGTGGGGAAGATGGACAGGGGAGGGTGGTGTCTAGAAGGCTCGTATTTGGGCTCCATACAGAGGCCTTTAAAGTTTCACAACAGAGTGTCGGGCCTGCTACCCCCTCCAGTTAACTGGTGTCTGAAGATGTAAGCTCTCCAGTCAACAACACAACACATCCACACTTAAGGATGGTCCAGAATTTAAACTGGAACTGCCATCTTGCTGCATTCTCAAGCTGGGATGACTCTGAGTCTAAAGTCCGAAAGCACACCATAGTCTGTGGGTGAAACAGACGTTCTGAACATGTACATATATTTTCTAAAAGCTTACACATGCTGTTGTGAAATATAAAACCTCAGATTTTCTAGGACAGCATGACAATATTTTGTCGAGCATTAAAGTACAACTATTGCTGTGTGTGCATGGGTGGGAGAGAGCATGTTGCTGAAATTTGTTGACCACCAAACAAGGGGTTCTCATCCTTAAAAATAACTGGAAAACCACTGCCAATTCTCCAGACGTATCCTGAACTCTGTCCTTATGTCATTTTTTTTCCTCACCGGAAAGCCACATATCCATAATTTCGTCCTCCACAGAGGCAATTCCATTGAGTTATGTCTTCAACGTTTTCATCTTGGCTTTCACAAACAGTGTGAGAAACGGCCACATAAAGAATACAAAGTTTCCTGTAGAAACTGAACCTAAGGAACAATGTTTCAGTCCACTCTTGTTTAAAAATAAGAGACCTGTAATCCCCTCTGGAATTTTACTAGAAAATCGCATCTCTTGAACACCTTGTTTTTCTGTATTAGATAATGGATAACCATTTCCCAAAAGGTTTTTTTTTTCTGAAACAAGAGCCCATGAAGAGGCTTCAAACAGGATTGTGTTGGCAATTATTTTGGAAAGCAATGCTTTATTGCTCCTTTAAGATTTAGATTAGCATATTATACAGTCTGTAAGGGAATTTAAAAAAACCCACCTAGCTAACATTTCCTAAAGTCATTATTTTAAAAGCCTTAACTTGTAAAACACCTTTGAGAATGTTGGATAATCCATTGCTCATCTCTCTTTTTTTTTTTTTTTACCAACCAAGGAACTTAGAACTAAATTTAATTCTCAATTATGGTCATTATGTTAATTAGGTTGACACATTTGCATCTTCTTCTAGGATTAAAAATTTTTTTTTTTTTTTAGAGTTGGGGGGGAGGGAGAGGAGGGAGAGAGAGAATCTCCAGCAGACTCTCCACTAAGCGGGGAGCTCAATCTCAGGATCCTGAGATCATGCTCTGAGCTGAAATCAAGAGTCTGACACTTAACCAACTGAGCCACCCAGGCGCCCCTAGGATTTTCAATCTCTAGTTAGCAGCTTTGTTGACTGTGGGTATTTATTTTAATTCTATCTATAAAAAGTACTTGTAACATCTGAAAGAGAAAGGGTATATGTTAAGAGATACTGAAAGACTTGAAAAGATAGAGGCAAATTTCTAATACATTTGAAAGCAGCATCTCATACCTCATACAAATAAATATATCAAGTATTTAAGAAATCAACACAATGATGTTTTCATGTGTTTGTAACAAAGAGAGATGGGCTTCATGCTCTTCCTGAATGTAAACTGTTACTGGAGCAGCATGTAGCTGAATCCCACTTATCTCTAATTTCCGAATCTGCCCCTGACCTGCCTTTTTTTTTTTTTTTTTTTTAAGATTTTATTTATTTATTTGACAGAGAGAGACACAGCGAGAGAGGGAACACAAGCAGGGGTGGGTGGGAGAGGGAGAAGCAGGCTTCCCACGGAGCAGGGAGCCCGATGCGGGGCTCGATCCCAGGACCCCGGGATCATGACCTGAGCCGAGGGCAGACGCTTAACGACTGAGCCACCCGGGCGCCCCCTGCCTTCCTTTTTCATCCCCATCTCAGAAATCCCGATCCCACATGGAAAAGTTCCATTCAGTCTTTAAGTTAAAACAAAACAAAAACCTTGCTAAACAGGATCAGTATTTTATCAACCAAAACATGCTCGGTGCTGAACTGAGTTGTAGCCTCCCATCTAAGGGATGTGTTGCAGGCTATGGGAAAGGTGCAGGCCCGAGCCTCTGGGGGCATTTCTGCAGAACTTACTAGCTAAGTGATCCTCAGCAGGTTTCATCTTTTTATGCCTTAATGTCCTCATCCTGTAGGGACGTTTTATGGATTAAATGAATTAAAACAACGAAGTCGTTAGAAGAGTGGCCGGCATGCGGCAGGCACTAGAAGTATTTGATATTATTATTCCTGAGTGGAAGTGAACGTGCTCGCTACAACACTGCAGTGGAAGGTCAGGCTCTGGGGCGCTCGGTGCGGGGGGCCAGCAAGCCGGGAAGAACCAGGCTCCAGAGCAGAAGGAGAAACGGGAAAGTGCAAACACAGAAGGGCCTCCCCAGGGGTGGCCGGTCAGACACCGACTACTGGGAAGGTCGGACGGGTCCTGGGGAGAGGGCCTTCCCGCTCTCATCAAGTGTGTGGGCTCCCCCTCCGCTGTGCCTTCTTTTCTTATGTCCTGTGAGGTTTGCGCTCACTCTGAAAGCTTTTCCACACTGCTCACACTCATAGGGCTTCTCCCCCGTGTGAACCCGCTGGTGCCCGACGAGAGCCGAGCGCTGGCGGAAACACGTGCCGCACTCGCTGCAGGGGTAGGGCTTCTCCCCGCTGTGGATCCGTCTGTGCTGCGTCAGGACGGAGCTGTGGTGAAAGGCCTTCCCGCACGCCGCGCACGCGTACGGTTTCTCCCCGGTGTGGATTCTCTGGTGGTTGGTCAGGTTGGACTTCCCGCGGAAGGCTCTCCCACACTGGGAGCAGGCGAACGGCTTCTCTCCGGTGTGCACCCGCTGGTGGACGGTGAGGCAGTGCCGGTCCTGGAAGGTCTTCCCGCAGTGCGCGCACGGGAATGGCTTCTCCCCGCTGTGCGCGCGTTCATGAGCCCGGCGCCTGCAGTTGTGCCGGAAGGCGCGCCCGCACTCCCTACACGGGTAGGGCTTCTCCGGAGCGTGGGTCCTCCTGTGCCGGGTGAGCTCCGCCTGGCTGCCGAAGGCTTGGCCACACTGAGGGCAGCCGCCGCCTCGCTCCCGCGTGTGCGTCCTCATGTGCTTGCTGAGGTCCGAGCTCCGGCTGAAGGCCCTCCCGCACGCGCCGCACGCGTACGGCCGCTCCCCGGTGTGGATTCTCGCGTGTTTGCTGAGGTCCGAACTCCCGCTGAAGGCCCTCCCGCACTCCGCGCACGCGTAGGGCCGCTCCCCGGTGTGCGTCCGGCTGTGGAGGGTGAGGCAGTGCTTGAACTGGAAGGCCTTCCCGCAGACAGCACACTCGTGGGGCTTCTCCCCGCTGTGGACCAGCCGGTGCAGACGGAGGCGGCTCCTGCTCTCGAAGGTCTTTCCGCACGCGCTGCACCCGTGAGGCTTCTCCCCACTGTGCGCTTTCCTGTGGCGGCAGAGTGCGGATGGGCTGCCGAAGGCCTTCCCACACGGGGCGCAGCGGAAGGGCTTCTCCCCTGTGTGGGTGATCTGGTGCACCGAAAGCTGGCTTCTGGTCTTGAACGCTTTCCCGCACTCGTGGCACGCATGGGGCTGCTTGCCAGAATGGACGCGCTCGTGGAGAAGTAGGTCCGCGTGCCAACTGAAGCTCTTGCCACATTCGGCACACGGGTGGGGTTTCCGTTCTGTAAGGACTCCATTATACGGAATACGCTCCGAGTCTGGATTGAAGTTTTTTCTGAGGACCTTTCGGGCCTTTCCTTCATTGCAGGTCACCTGCTCCCCGCCCAGGGTCTCCATCCCGGGCGTGTCCTGTGGATTCTCTACCTTGACATCCTCGACATGAGCTCCTCCAACCTCAGGGTCCTGGGACAGGGCTTTCAGGAGACTTTTGACTTGGACCCAGCAGACTTGCCCGCTCTCAAACACCTCCTGTTCTGAACTTGCCTTCTCAGTCCCCAGCCAGGTCCTGTCCACTGATACTTAAGGAAATAAATGTCACATGTTCAGAGGTCGGGAAACATGGGAGATGGGAGAGGTGAACGGGTGAAGCCCTATGAAGAGTACGTGACTTTCCCAGGCTGGAAGAGTGCTAGGTTATGGCCAAAGGCTGCAACAGGTTGGTATAATGAGAAGTACCAAGACAGCTCAGACTCTGCAAACTTTACAAAAATCCTTAGAAACCTACTTGTTCTCGAGAATCTCACGGTACGCCTAGTCACCTCGGTCAGGAAACTGAGTCACATCCAACCCTCTCCATCCTTCAGATTTGCTCAGCTGACATTTTACAAATTCCACCTGCGACATGGACTGCCGTCTAACGCCCAGGGACCCGTCTGCTCTGCAGTGTGGCTCTGCCCACCTGGGTGCAGGGCACATCCGGTCTGGGCCCCCCTCACCCAGACCAGGCCAGGTTCTCTCTCCTTGGACTCTGACCCAGGCTCTGACAACAGCCAGTGCTGGGGGGATGGTGCACCGCCCAGGGGAGGGAGCGTCCTGCCATCGGCAGCAAGCAGAGCGGGGCAGTCAGCCAGGAAGGAGGGAAGCAGACCTGCAGAGGGGACGGTGGGGCGACGGGCCTGATGTCCCCCTGCTCTTGGCTTCCATGACACCCCTGAATAATAAATTCTCACTGTTTTGCCCAAGTTAGTTTGAGTTAATGTCTACTGCTGGCAACCAGTTCTAGTAAGTCTTCTCTGTATCTCAGCTCACCCCCTCCTCTCTATTCTCCTGCCAGAGCATTCTTGCTCATTAACTGCCACCCCACCCCCTACTGTCCTTTAATCTGCCTCCCCTCGAATCTGTGCTCTACTCTGCTTCCAGATTTTTCTTTCTAAAAATCCAATCTAATCATGCCACTCTTCAGCTTAAAATGTCTCAGTGGCACTGCGTAGTTAAGCAGACAGAAAGGAGGTAGAGTGTGCAGGTCAGAGCCCCAGCTCTGGAGTGGGGCCATCCAGGCTGAAATCCTCGCTCTGACCCCTACTGACTGTGCAACCTGCGAGGTTGGCTGCATCTCCCTGGGCCTCAGTTGCTCATCTGTAAGATGGGATCATTTTACGTACACGAAGGTGTGTAAAGCACTTGCCACATGGACGTGAATGCTTCATCAGTGTCTCACTACTACTGTCAGAATAAAGTTCAAAGTCTGCAGTTTGTCAAAACCCCTCTGAATCGTGACCTTGCTCCTTGTGCTCCCCACACCGGCCGCCTGGAGCCCACTGCTCTGGCCACGCTGCGCACACTTCATGCTTTTCCTCCTCAGCACTTCCCCACGTTCTCAGAATGCCTCTTCCCCCCTTCCACTAAACCATCTGACTTATGCTTAGTTCATGGTCATTCCTTCCACAGCCACCTGGTCCCCAAGTCAGATTCAGACGCTTCTCTTCCGTGTCTATACATCCCAGGTACATATCTGTGACTCTTGCTATTCCGTGTCATCACTCACTACCTGCCTTCCCTGCTAGGCAATAATATTTGACACCGTCTCTAGTACCTTGTCGAGTGCCTGGTATACAGTAGTTGCTCAATTAATGTTTGTTGGGGGAGGGCAGGAGGGAGGAGGAAGGAAGAGCAGGTATTGTGACAGGGCAGTTGGGTTGGCCTACGGATAAGGGACACTTTTTTGAAGGACGAGTGGAGAAAACAGTTTGAATGAAGAGCTGGTACTGTTCACGACTGACCAGGTACGCAGGTCAGGGAGTGTGAGAAAGAGGTAGACCCAGGTACAGAGACAGGGAGGGCTCACTGGAGACGGGCTGTGGGGAGAGGTGCGTTTGCCTTCAGGTGTGCTGCTCTCCAGGGGACGATGGGATATCCAGTAAGCCGGGAGTTAGAAACAAGAGTGCTGCCCAGGAAAGGGGAGAAGTGAGCCGTGTCCATGCAGCCAGCCCCTGCCGCCGAACTGAAGCCATGAGGGAAAACAGAGAAAGGCCAGGGTCAGAGGCCCGAGGCTCAGTGTGGGGAAGGTCCTGAATGAAAACTAGGGGCAGAAAAGCAGGGTTCTCTGAGCGCTGGAGTAACTGATACACAGAAGGGAGGTGAACTCACTGAGCTTTCTCTGAGGACCAAATTGCAAAGGGCCTATTAGATAGGGTGCAAAGAAGCAATCAGATCATGACAGAATATTTGCCCAAACAGTTTGCTGCTGTTTGTTTTCTCTTTGTTAGGGTGCCCGGGCGGGTGAGGATGGCTGACCCGGCACTAAGAACATTCTACAAACACCTGCCCCAGGGCACCCAGCAGGAGGCCGGAGCTCCTCCATCACTCACCTGGGAAGGAGCAGCTCAGGAACCCCCCGTCCTGCAGATCCTGAACGCAGGGCTCGGCCCCTTGCTCCAGATGGGAGATCAGAGGAGGCTTAGGGACCGCAAAGCCTGGTTGTGGAGAAGGAATATGAGTGTGCAGAGCAACATGGCCAGGGTCCTAATACCCAGCCTTGACCCCTCTGCCCACGTAGGGCAACAAGAAACAAATGGCCACTGGGGTAGAGAGAGGGTTTGTTCAGGGGTCTGGTCACATGGAAACGTGTACGGATATTCGCAGAAGAGTCATACTCAAAAGGCAGAGGAAGAGACCCTGGGGGACAGTCCCTGCTCTTGCAATGATCCTGCCATAAAACAGACGCAAGAATATGAGGCCTCACATACATCAGTAAACACCACAACTGAAAGGAAGAGCAAACAGTGCTGAGCCAAGTGCAGGGATGTCCTTACCGACCGAGATCACGTTCCAGTAGTTCTCCAACATGACGTCTGCATAGAGGTGCCGCTGAGCGCGGGTCAGACACTGCCACTCTCCGCTACTGAAGCGCACGGCCACGTCCTCAAACGTCACTGAGTCCTGAAACGGTGCATTCCCGCTGTCCTGGAGAAAACCCCACAGTGCCCTCAGGACAGAGGCGGGAGGACTTTCGGGAGGTTTATAGAAACGAGAGGTGGTTATTGTGTTGTGTGTATTTGGGTTGAGGTGAAAGGAAGTGAACACCCATGGCAGAGGGAACAAGGAATGAATGGCGTGTCATCCAGTGGAATGTTCCTCGAGAGGGAGCACCTGCATTTGGGGGGTGAGTCAGGGAATGAGTGGAAGGAGGCGATGCTGTATTTCCAGGAAGGATGGAGGGGCCACAGCTTACCTGGGCCCAGCTCATCAGTGTACTCTTTGCTCCTGGATGGTCTCCTTGGCTTCCCTCTCTGCGAAAGGCAGGATGCTGAGGGGCTGGCAGGGCTGAGAGAAACGAGGCGGGTCAATTTGGCACAGCTTCCGCTTTCCTCCTCTCTTCCCCAGTGTAGAAGCTCCTCAAGCTCCGCCTTCCCCGTTATTTCTCCAGCCTCGGGGTCGGCACAAAGTCACACAGATGGCCAGTGCTCTCCCCCTCACCTTCTACGTGTTTTTTCCTCTGGTCTCTCTTCATCCTAGAATGACCTCACCCCTCCCCTCCCCAAGCCCACATCACTGACTCCTCGCTTGTGGGATAACCTCTCCTCCAGTATTTGAATGTTGAAGCCACTTCTTCCAGAAAGACTTGGGGTGGGGTGAGGTGGGGGAAACAGAAAGGAGGAAAGTGTGGAACAGAAATATCCAGGGACAGGCCCAAAGCTTGCTCCTTTCGGTAACTTAATGGCTGCTCTACCTCCAGTTAATTTCTTAGAAAATTTTCTTTCCTGTTCTTCTTTGAGAAACACCACCTTCCCCCTGCGATTCTGAGTCTCTCCTATTAATTCCCGAGCACTAAACCACCCTCCCCACACCAGTGCAGTACACTGCTAGTTAACGCGGCCCTGATTCCTTCCTAGTGGGCCAGCCCAACCTTCCTCCAGCTGCAGTGTTTGCGGCAACTAACCCTTCTAGAAAGTTCATCAACACATCTCAAATCAGAGTCTGAACAATTTCTTTCAGAAGATACCGGTGGGGTTAGTCACCAGTTGGTAAGACCCAAGGATTACCCTGTGGCCTTAGGTCCCCCAAATTTCATTCCAATTTTACCAAAACTTCAATTTAGGAGCAGACTGGTTTCTTCCCAGAAAAACTCCCCATGATTCTTCTTCGGTTTAGGCTACTCTTGGGCTTTTGACCAAGACCCGGGCTGTGTTTTAGTCCCTGTGGGCCCCACTCTGTCACTCTGCATCTCCCTCTACAAGCCCACGTGCTCTGTAATTCCTTGTCGCACACAGTCCCACACCCGCCTGGCCTGCACACAGCTCCCAGCAGATGATCGGTCTGCTCTGCTCCTTGTGACGTCAAAAACATAAACCTCCCAACTGTTTTTTTTCTTTTTTCCAATCCACACTTTATCATGAACATTTTCAAATACAGAGAAAAGCTGAAAGAACTGTTTAGTAAACATCCACATATTCACTTCATTGCGTATCTGTCCACCTAACTAGGCCTCTATTAATTCACTTTAATCGAAGATATCAGCATACTGTACCCCAAAACACTTTATGGTACACATCATGAGCTACAGTTCAGGATTTGTTTACGTTCTTGTTGAGGTAAAATTTACTACAGTAAAATAAACAAGTCTTAAGTGTACTATTGGGTGAGTTTTGACAAAGCATACCCCTATTTAACCCAAACTCCCCTCCAGATATATCCCAGTTGGATTTTTACTATACCCTCTTCACAGACTGGGAAAGTTTCATTAACTCACAGTGGTTCTTCTTCTTTTTTTTTTAAAGTGCTCATCACATTAAGAATTTTTTTGAATTGTGGAAAAAATACGTAACAAAATTTACCATCTTTACCATTTTTAAGTGTACAGTTCAGCAGTGTTAAAAATACTCACAAAGTTGTGTAATCTCCAGAACTTTTTCATCCTGCAAAACTGAAACTCTAATCCCATTACACAACTTGCTATTTCTCCCTCCTCAATCCCTGGTCACCACAGTGATTCTTAGGCTTTAGTTTTTAGCTTCAGATTTGGAAAGGTCAGTTTCTGCCCTCAAGTTAAACATGAAGTTGGGAGACAGGCTATGTACACAAACGGCACGAAACTACCTTTGCCAACTCAGGCTGCCATAACAAAATACCACAGACTGGGTGGCTTACACACTGGAAAGCTACTTCTCACGGTTCTGGAGGCTGGAAGTCGGAGATCCAGGTTCTGGCATGAGCCCTGCCCGGCTTGCCATCCTCTGTCCTCACGTGGGGGATGCAGACAGAGTTCTGGTCTCTTCCTCTAATAAGGACACTAATCTCTTCATGTGGCTCCACCCTTTCTCTAAACCAAATTACTTCCCAAAGGCCCCACCTCTAAATATCATCACAATGGGGGTTAGGGCTTCAACATGTGAATTTTGAGGGGACGCAAACATTCAGCCAGTAACTAAACTATTTGTTAAAGCAGTGTACAGATATTATCTAGGATGAGGTTCATTCTTTTATGTTATATGTTAGATAACTATGAACTTTATGGTCCTGAAAATCACCAATGGGAAGAGAATTTAAGGTCTTATGAAAAAAAGAGGACTGGGAGATGCAGGTCAGATGTGAACCATAAGAGTGTGTATAATTTTGTATTTAAAAAAATGAAATTAGACACCCAAGTTAAGCAGTGTCGATTATCTTCTACCTCAAATATGTTCTATATTATTAATTTTCACTTATGATTCCTTATACAGTGGAAATTTCAGGATTTCTCCTCTGGAAGTTCCAATAATATACTCTTTTCTTCTTTGTAGATGATATGTACTAAAAGCCTACTTTTGGGGTGCCCAGGTGCCTCGTCCTCTGTCCAAAAGTCTGCCTTTCAGGGTCTGACTTTGGAACTATAGAACTGCTGAATGCCATGTCCTGGGTTTCACCTCCATCAGCCACTTCCCCACAGTCTTGTCCACTTTGCTCTTTACACACGTCACCACTCAGCACTTCTAAAGCCCAGCCTCACATTTCCCCATCTACCTTTATTTTTCCCAAAGCTTCATGACAAAACCTTTGCTCCTTCTTTGCCGCTGTTTTATCTTCTGTTTCTCAGGGACTCATTTTATACTTTTAAAATCTCAGGGTTCCAGGGCGCCTGGGTGGCTCAGTCGGTGAAGCGACTGCCTTCGGCTCAGGTCATGATCCTGGAGTCCCAGGATCGAGTCCCGCATCGGGCTCCCTGCTCAGCAGGGAGTCTGCCTCTCCCTCTGACCTTCTTCCCTCTCATGCTCTCTTTCTACCATTCTCTCTCTCTCTCTCAATAAATAAATAAAAATCTTAAAAAAAAAAAAATCTCAGGGTTCCAGAAAGGTCTACAGAAGTGAAATTACATACACTCAACATGGACGTGTTGGCAAAACTGGTGGGGTAGGAGTTACTGAATGATACCACAGGTTTTATGTACACACATATAAGTTATTTATCGTATGTGTCAAGTTGTACATATAATAAGTGATGGAATGCAATTTCCTTGATAAGTTGCTTTGTAGAATTTTTTCTTATGAGTCTGAATATTTTTTCCAAATTTGGTGTAAGATGAGGGCAGAAACTGAATAATTTAGTTCCTCTCAATACTGATCCAAGCCTAGAATAGACTTCCAATAAATGCTCAATAAGGAGGGGATTTCCAAGCCCCAGGAAGCATCTCCTCCCTGCCTCCCTCCACCCTTGTTGGCACAATACCCTGTGTACCTCACCTCTTTCCTGCAGGAGCTCAGCATCAGGGGTCCCAGGCAGCTGGCGTGGTGGGCCTGGACTCTCATGTGACAGCACTACCTATTACGAGGCACAGAAAAACTCAGGGAGGTTATGGACAGGAGGAAAACAAGCTGTAACAACTGTAAACTATAAAGCTCTGTCTGTGGGAATCGACTCCCAGACATACCAGGAGGGGAGGGAAATTCAGGGACTCAGTCCCTGATAAACCTTATGAAAAACAGAAAAGTCTTCCTCTCTGTCACTGGAAAGTTTTCATGGTCACCAAGCCATCCAGGAAAAATAATATTTTGAAGTGGGAAACTTCCACCATGGCCCCCACTGCTTTCCTTTTCTGTACTCGCTTCCTCCTCCTCCTTGAGACACGTTGCAGACCCTCCTTTCCTTACCTGTCGCATCTTTTTGCCCAGCTTTCTTTCCAGTCTTCCACCGCGGTCCAGATTCTTCCCTGCTGCTTGCGTCAAACTCCCAGAGTCAGTTCTGGCTCTGCTCGGACAACAAGTTTGGGAGTGGCCGGGGGATGCCAGCCAGAGGGCCCCCGATGCCCCACAGGGCAGCTGCTGTTCGGCCCGATGCGTCACACAATGCCCTGGCCTTGGGGTTCATCAGCAGGATCGAGCCAGCTGTGGTCTCACACCTCGTTTTCCCGAATAGTCCATGAAAAGGGAAGAGGGCAGGGAACACAGCAAAAAGAAGCCATCACTGGGGATTATCTGCCGGAAGACACGGAAATGTTCCCTGTCTGGAACAGGACCTCCACAGCGGCGCTCCTGGTCCAAGCCGCCAGCCCCCGCCCGGCCCCCCGCTCTTACAACTGGTCTCCCTGCGTCTGTCCTTCCCCTGCACCTCCTGTCAGTACAACGGCCGGCGCGGTGTGCTTGAAACCCAAACTGGGCGATTTCGTCTCTGCTTAAAGCCTCCCAGTCTCCAGCTTACTCAGAACGGGGCTGCGCCCTCCCTCCGGCCGTCTCTCCCACGCGCTCCGAGGAAAGCCGCGGCACCCAGTCTGCACACGGGCCGCGCTCGCTCACCTTCTCCGCCACCGCGGGCTTCTGCACCGGCTGTCCCTCCGCCTCCAGCAATTCTCAAGGCCAGTGATGAGGCTGCCAAGGGCGCTCGTCGGTCACCTCCCCGGGATCCACGCGAGGCGCCCTCTGCTGAGACCGCCGGCTACCCTCTCCCTCCCCGACGCCTGGCCGGGCTTTACCTTCCTCTGTTCCTTCCGACGGCACTCGCCCGCCTCCCGACACGGGGAGTCCCGCCAGGGCGTCCGTTCTGTGCACCGGGCGGGCTCCCGAGGGCAGGGAGCTCTGGCCGCCGCGTTCGCAGCCGTACTGGCCACGCCTAAACAGCGCCCGCCGCAGCGGCTCAGGGAACGGATCCGGGCACGGGCGCCGCGGCGGACGGCGGACGCGGGATAAAGGAAGGCAGCAAGAGGAGCGGGAGGGAGCCGGACTCGGCGGGAAAGCCCCGCCTAGGGCCGACCCGGCTCCAGGGCCCGCCCCTCCCGCTGCGACCCCGGAGGAGCCGGCTGGTAGCTCGGGAGGCCCGCCGCGCGCGGGCTGGAGGCGCAGGCCTTCCCGCGGGTCTCGCCGCAGGCGACCGGAGACCGGGGGAAGCTGTCCCCTCTCCCTTCCTAGTCCTCCCCACCCACTTCCGGAGACTTTCTAGGAAACGCGGCCACTCGCTGGTCGGGACTTCGCCGGAAATGCCCCCGGGCCCTCTCGCGCGGGCGTCCGGGAGTTCGCGCGAGTTCCTGAGGCCGCGAGGGGCGCGGGGGTCGCCGCGTGAGTGCGTCGGCATGGCGGCCGGTGGTGGTCCGGCCTCGGCCTCCCCGCTGGAGCGCACGGGACTTTTGTGACACAAATAGGTGAAAATGTCACCTTTTAAATGTTAGCCAAAAACACAAGGTAAATGATGGGCTGCTCTTTTTTTAAGACATGAAAACAATCGTTATGAAAAATTGAAGCCTACACAAAAGTTGGGAGAAGACGAGTGAGCCCGCGTACGCCCACCGCTGCCGCACTGGTTTCGTCTGGTCCCGCCAACCCTGTGTTTCTTGCTGAAACATTTGAAAGCAAAACCCAAAGATGTTATTTCAATATTATGTTTTTAAAAAATAAGGACATTTTCTAGCAGGACCACAGTGCCGTCGTCCCACCTAAAAAATTTAAATAATTCCTGGTTACCATCTAGTATTGAGGGCGTACTAAACTTGCCCAACTATATAAAACACGACTGGCGATTGGCAAGGAGCTTCAATTTATACGTTTATAAAACATAAAACATGCTTTTCTGAATCAAGATCCAAAGTCTACATGCTTTTTTTGGGTTATTTCTTTAAATTTTCGTTTAATTTAGACCTAGAATAGTTCCTCCTTCCATCTCTCACTCATCCTCCTTCCCCCAATTAAACAAATTGGGTTATTTGCCCTGAATTTTTCGCATGCTGGGTTTGTCCATTTGCATCTTCATTTAATTTATTTCTCTAGCCTTGTAGTTCCTGTTAACTAGATGTTAGCTCCAAAAGTTTGATTCGTGTTTGATTTACCTTTATGTGTGAGAATTATTCGTAGGTGGTGCTGTGTACTTCTTGTTTTGTATCAGGAGGCATGTAAGGTCTGAGGAGTCCACTCTTTGAGATGCTAAGGTTGATCTATGAGTACAACCCTTGACAGCTGGATCTTTCCAGGTAAGTTCCCCATCAACCTTTCATTTGGTGGTTTCACCTACTGATCTTTGCCTAAGTCAACCATTTCATTAGGGTTTGCAAAACTGTGATTTTTCTAATTCAATAATTTTTGTCATATTGAACAGGAATTTCTTTTAAAGGATTTTCTCTCAGCAACACAAATTTAGGCCTATTTGGTTCTCCGAAATGTAGTTCATACAGGAAAGACAATAAATGTTTACTTTTCAATTTAATTGCCAGTGTTCAGAGTGAATAGTTGTTTGCCCTAGGTGCCATGACCAACGATGTGTTAGCTGTCCTTTGAAATGGCCATCAATGAGCCCTGCCTTCCAGGATTCGCTCCATGTGCAGCTCCCTTTCACATTGTACCAGAGCTGGTGTGTGTAACCAGTTGAACATGGCAGAAGTGATGTTATGATACTTCTAATGTTAAGTTATAAAAGAGACTGTGCCTTCCAGCTTTGTCTCTCTTTCTCTCCCTCCTCTCAGATCACTCACTCTGAGGGAGGTCAGCTGTCACATTGTGAGGAGTGGCCCATGTGGTGAGGAATTGAAGCCCTCTGCCAATAGCCATGTGAGTGAGTTTAGAAGTGCATCCTCCAGCCCCCAGTCAAGCCTTCAGATGACTATAGCACAGCTCAAAGGCCCAAAACCAACAGCTAAGCTGCTCTCAGATTCCTGATCTGCAGAAACTGCAAGGTAATAAATGTTTGATGTTTGATTCTAAATTTTGAGGGAACTTTTTGTGCAACAATTGATAAATAACATTTTTGGTTTGGGTTCTCCTTTTGAACTTCATTACAAGCTCATGGATTTTTATTTTCATTTATTTACTTATTTTTTAAAAAGATTTATCTATTTGGGAGAGAGAGGGAGAGACAGAGAGTGGGAGAGAGAGAGAGAGCATGAGGAGATGCAAGGGGCAGAGGGAGAGGAAGAGAGAGAATCCTCAAGCAGACTCCCTGCTGAGCACAAAGCTGATGCAGGGCTTGATCCCAGGACCCTGAGATCATGATCTGAGCCGAAATCAAGAGTCAGCCACTAGACCGACTGAACCAACCAGGTGCCCCTACAAACTCATGGATTTTTAAAAAAACATTCAAGGAGTCTTAATCAATTACAGTCATTATTTATGATGTTCAAATAATTCCATCTTTGGCAGGTGGGAGTGCCTCTATTTTGTCTCCTGTGTCCTTTTCATCTGAGAGTCTTTTTTTTTCCTTTACATTTTTTTATTGTTACGTTAATCACCATACATTACATCATTAGTTTTGGATGTAGTGTTCCATGATTCATTGTTTGTGCATAACACCCAGTGCTCCACGCAGAATGTGCCCTCTTTAATACCCATCACCAGGCTAACCCATCCCCCCACCCCCTCCCCTCTAGAACCCTCAGTTTGTTTTTCAGAGTCCATCGTCTCATGGTTCATCTCCCTCTCCGATTTCCCCCCCTTCATTCTTCCCTTCCTGCTATCTTCTTTTTTTTAAAAATTTAATTTAATTTTATTATGTTATGTTAGTCACCATACAGTACATCATTAGTTTTTTATATCAAGAGAGCTCTTTCTTTCTTTCTCTTTCTTTCTTCTTTCTCTTTTAAACTTTATTTCATTTTATTATGTTAGTCACCATATAATACATCATTAGTTTTTGATGTAGTGATCCATGATTCATTGTTTTCTTTGTATAAAACCCAGTGCTCTGTGCAGTACGTGCCTCCTTAATAGCCATCACTGGGCTAACCCATCCCCCCTCCCCACTAAAACCCTCAGTTTGTTTCTCAGAGTCCATAGTCTCTCATGGTTCATCTCCCCCCTCCGACTCCCCCCCTTCATTTTTCGCTTCCTTCTGATGTCCTCCCGGCTATTCCTTATGTTCCACAAATAAGTGAAACCAAATGATAATTGACTTTCTCTGCTTGACTTATTTCACTTAGCATGGTCTCCAGTCCCATCCATGTTAATGTAAAAGTTGGGTATTCATCCTTTCTGATGGCTGAGTAATATTCCATTGTATATAGGGACCACATCTTCTTTATCCCTTCGTCTGTTGAAGGGCATCTCGGTTCTTTCCACAGCTTGGCTATTGCGGACATTGCTGCTATGAACACTGGGTGCATATGGCCCTTCTTTTCACTACATCTGTGTCTTTGGGGTAAGTACCCAGGAGTGCAATTGCTGGGTCATAGGGTAGCTCTATTTTTAATTTTTTGAGGAACCTCCACACTGTTTTCCAAAGTGGCTGTCCCAACTTGCATTCCCACCAACAGTGTAAGAGGGTTCCCCTTTCTCCACAACCTCTCCAACATTTGTTGTTTCTTGCCTTGTCAACGTTTTCCATTCTAACTGGTATAAGGTGGTATCTCAATGTGGTTTTGATTTGAATTTCCCTGATGGCTAATGATGGTGAACATTTTTTCATGTGTCTGTTAGCCATTTGTATGTCTTCTTTGGAGAAATGTCTGTTCATGTCTTCTGCCCATTTCTTGACTGGATTCTTTGTGTTTTTGGGTTTTGAGTTTGATAAGTTATTTATAGATCTTGGAAAGCAGCCCTTTGTCTGTAGTGTTATTTGCAAATATCTTCTCCCATTCTGTGGGTTGCCTCTTAGTTTTGCTGACTGTTTCCTTTGCTGTGCAGAAGCTTTTTATCTTGATGAAGTCCCAAAAGTTCATTTTTGCTTTTGTTTCACTAGGCTTTGGAGATGTATCTTGAAAGAAGGTGCTGTGTCTGATGTCAAAGAGGTTACTGCCTATGTTCTCCTCCAGGACCTTGATGGATTCCTGTCTCACATTGAGGTCTTTCATCCATTTTGAGTTTATCTTTGTGTAGGGTGTTGGAGAATGGTTGAGTTTCTTTCTTCTGCATGTGGCTGTCCAATTTTCCCAGCACTATTTGTTGAAGAGACTGTCTTTTTTCCATTGCATATATTTTCCTGTTTTGTCAAAGATTATTTAACCATAGAGTTGAGGGTCCATATCTGGGCTCTCTATTCTGTTCCATTGGTCTACTATATGCGTGTTTTTGTGCCAGTACCATGCTGTTTTGGTGATCACAGCTTTGTAATAAAGCTTGAAATCAGGCAATGTGATGGCCCCAGCTTTGTTTTTCTTTTTCAGCATTTCCTTGGTGATTCGGGGTCTTTTCTGATTCCGTACAAATTTTATGATTGTTTGTTCCAGCACTTTGAAAAATGTCATTGGAATTTTGATCGGGATGGCATTGAAGGTAGAGATTGCTCTGGGTAGCATAGACATTTTAACAATGTTTATTCCTCTGATCCCTGAGCATGGAATGTTTTTCCCTCTTTTTGTGTCTTCTTCAATTGCTTTCATGAGTGTTCTGTAGTTCCTAGAATATAGATCCTTTACCTCTTTGGTTAGGTTTATTCCGAGGTATCTTATGGATTTTGGTGCTGTTGTAAATGGAATCGTTTCTCTAATTTCTCTTTCTACAGTTGCACTGTTAGTGTATAAGAGAGCAACTGGTTCTTGTGCATTGATTTTGCATCCTGCCACATTCCTGAGTTGCTGTATGAGTTCTAGTAATTTGGGGGTGGGGTCTTTTGGGTTTTCCACATCAAGTATCATGTCGTCTGGGAAGAGAGAGTTTGACGTCTTTGCCAGTCTGAATACCTTGTATTTCTTTTTGTTGTCTGACTGCTGTTGCTAGGACTTCTCGTACCGTGTTGAACTTTTAAGTTCTTCTTTCATTTCCTGGTTGACCCGTTCTTTCTTTAGTAGGGTGCTCTTTAACCTCCGTGTATTTGTGGTGCTTCCTAAGTCCCCCTTGTGATCTTGTTCAAGTGTCGGAGCGCGGTGCTCCGCAGGGGTGGCCCCAGTCCTTTTTATTCCTGGTTTGTGACCCGCGTGTGGTCTGGAGAACGTTCCCGGTGCGCTCGAGAAGGACGGGCAGTCTGTTGCTT